CCCCAAAACCCCAAAACCCCAAAACCCCAAAACCCCAAAACCCCAAAACCCCTGTTAAAGTCATGATTATTGAATCTATTTGGGTTATTTCTTAAATAAATCCTTTGCTTATAGAGAGCTGGCGACTAGCTTAGCTGAAAGAAAAGATTCTTAATATTCTTAAGAATTTCTTCAATGTCTGAATGAATCTTATATGAGTATAGTCATTACATCTCTCAAGAGCTTCGTCAGTGGCATTATTCATCAAAGTGAGACTAAGTATCGCATGAGTCTCATTTCCTTCAGGGATATTGACTTCTCTGTCAAAGTTTTCATCTGTATCAATGCAATCAACAAAGCTACATTTATTGTTCCACCACATAATGTATCTCCAATCAGGCTCATAATCCTCAAAGAATTCTCTATCGTATTCTAAATTTTCCCTAATTTTTACTACGATGTTATCTTTTAGAGCTGGGTTGTGATTCCATTTTGCTGATCTGAAGGCATATGCATTAACAGAGGTGACTACATCCCAAATAGCTCTTTCTTCAGCATCTTTATCCTTTGGTGAAATTCCAGCAAGTTCAAAGTCATCATCGTTAGGGACTAGAAGAATACCAGAGCTGATAAGTTCTTTCAAAAGGATACCTGGAGTCATCTCTTTGTTAGCTAGTCTTTGTAATTCTGATTCTTTTATGTCAATAAGTTTGCAATAGTCTGCCCCAATTTCAAAGACTAACTTAATTCTCTTCGTTTGGATGTCTAGCACAGCAACATCTGGCTGAATACATCTTAACTTCCATGAAACATATGGGAAATCTGAGCATCTTGATTGGAGGTAAGCAAAAGGAGCTAATTGAAGAGTTTTGAATGACACTTCTCTAGTAGTTTTATTTATTTTAACTTCTTCAAGATTATCAAGTTGCCATTCCTTTGCTTCTTCATTCCACCATCCTACTTCAACATCTTCTCTGCCTTCATCAATCCATACATATTCTGGAATAGTGAAGGAAACAGTGATTGATTCAATGTTTCCTCCAGAATCAGAGAAATTTTTGGCCTGAAGAGCTTCTTCCTCATCTTGAACTTTTCTAATGATCCAATTTCTGTGCTTCTTTGGCATCTCAGGTAAAGAAAAGATTTCAATGCGGAGAACTCCTCCAACAGCAAAGTATGGACTTTTCTCAGAAGAAGTAATGTCGTTAGATATCCAAACGGACCTTTGAAGGTTAGACTGCTTACAGAATATTCTTGGAACTTCATTGCTGATTCCTAAGGACTCATGCTTAAGCATTTCAGTCCCAGAGAAATTTGAGTGATTCCCTCTGATTCCGATCTTAAAGTACTCATTTCTGGCTTCGAGTTCGAATTGGTCTCTAATATTTTCTATCTTCTTCCCTGTCATTTTCTTCTTTTCTTCCTCAGTGTAGAGTAAATAACTTTCGATGTTTTCCATAATATTCTTTGTGAGTTGATCAAATTTAAGAGCACAAGTTTTATTTGAGCTTGGAAATGTAGTAATATCACCATTCAATGTTGTCAGTCTTTAGTTCTGACACTGCATCAAAATAAAGTGATTTTAATTTCATCACAACTTCTTCAGCGATCCTACAGTTTTCAATGCATTCATTGATATCCTTATCTTTTCCTTGCTCCCATAAAGTGAGAAATGATGTAAGGTCAGTTTCATTTTCTGGATCAGGAAGAGGGTCACAAGAGATATGCTTATCCCATTCATCTCCTTCCTCCTTTCTCTCCTCAGATTCAACAGTCAATCTTGAGATAGTATTACTTCTCTCGATTACTTTCGTCTGCTCTTCTTCAAGTCTTGCTAATTCTTCTTGCCTTATCTTCTCTTCTAGCTCTCTTTTGATTCTCTCTTCTTCTTCTCTCTGTTTGCGTTCTTCTTCATCTTTGATTCTCTGTTCTTCTTCGAGCTTGAGTCTTTCTTCTTCAGCCCTTTTCTTTTCCTCCTCTTTCTCCTTTTTTGTCTTCTTTGGCATTTTAATTATTTTATTTGTATAAAATATTTCAGTAAAAGCTCCTTTCGGAGGGGTTTTGGGGTTTTGGGGTTTTGGGGTTTTGGGG